GTCAAGGAAGGAGCTCGGTTGGCACACTAGTGAAGTGCTCAGCTGCTCATGGAAAAGTCTGGGGTTGAACCCACCAGAACCCTGCGGGAGAAAGGCGTGCCAGTCTGTTTCAGGAAGGATTCCAGCCTTGGGAGTCCTGTGGGGCAGGTCTACTATGTCCTATGAGTCAGAATCTGATGGCAGTAGGTTTGGCTTAGTTATACCTGCGGTTATAATCCGATTTAGAAGTGGAGCTTTGTTATGTTAATGAGGCGGTATTAGTGTAAGGTGTGCCTTTAGTTGGTCTCTCTTGAGATCTAAACCAAAAACGAAACTCACTGCCATCCAGTTCACCCCAATTCCTAACAACCCTATAGGCCAGGAGACTCCATGTGTCAGGGTAAAGCTATTCTCTACGGGAATCTCAATAACTGATTTTTCACAAGTAGATCAGACACCATCAGGTCTTTCTTCCAAGGCCGGACTCAAACCACCCACCCTTTTGGTTAGCTGCAGAGCGGAAACGTTTGCACCACCCAGGGACTGCACGGTGGGCATGAGGGTTCTGTTTTATGCGATTATTCCGGGATCCAGACTGATGGAGGCTCTGCCACCTTCAACGTGTAGCTTCCTGGTTTCCTGGTCAATGCCAGCGAGTGTAGGAGGCACGAGGGGGCACACTAGAAGGTTTGAAGCACCAGAGATGGAAGTGAAACACGTCGGTGCCCAAATTTCACCAGCTAGACCTCAGTCACAGGGTTACAACAAGCTGCCAGGCAATGGTGAATGCAGACAGGTGAACCCAGAGAGTAGAAGAAAGAGGATTTGGTGAACAGCTCGTGGACTTTGTCATTTTCAACCTTGAATTGTCAACTCTCTTCAGGACAAGTCCCTTGGATGTACCACTGGAGCCTCAAACTAAGCATATCCAAAGGCAAGCTCCTTAGTGTTCCCAAGCAAGTGTGTTTCTTCCATGGTCTTCTTTTCTGATCGTGGCAATTAGCATCTCGTTGTTATGCCCAGCCACAACCCTCTTACTAAATTTGACGTCTTCCTCCTTCCCAAACCCAACTTTCAGGATGTTTCGGTGCCCAGGAGAATGTGGGGCTCATACCCTCTGGCTCAGGGAGCAGAATTGACAGGAGGGCACATTTGCTGTCCTTCTGGATCTGTCTCTGTGTTTCTATGGAGAGTAGGCATCCCAAGGGCTTCTCCCAACCTCTGGCTAAGCACATATGCAGGTATGGCCCTAGGAAATTAGGACTGCTTTGAAAGGTGTCGTTGGCCCTGGGCCTCTCATCAGGCAGAACTATTCTCAGACCTGTGCTGAGTCTGGCAGAGGCAGGTTGTGTGTTGAATCTCTCTGGTTTCTTCCCTTTACCCTTCCCACGTGTTCCCCTGAATAAATATCTTCTGTGTCTAATCCAATGCTGACATCTCTTTCTGAAGCTAGCCACTGCTATGGAGTGGGTTTAGACTTATAAAGACCCTATAGGGTGGACCTTTCTCCCAAAATGTGACTGTGGATTTGAACTGCCAACCGTTCTTTATTTTTTTTAATTATTTTATTAGGGGCTCATACAACTCTTATCACAATCCATACATACCTCAATTGTGTAAAGCACATTTGTACATTCATTGCCCTCATCATTCTCAAAACATTTGCTGTCCACTTAAGCCCCTGGCATTAGGACCTCGTTTTTTCTCATCCCTCCCCGCTCCCCACTCCCTTGTGAACTCTTGATAATTTATAAATTATTATTTTGCCATATCTTTCCCTCTCCAACGTCTCCCTTCACCCACTTTTCTGTTGTCCGTCCCCCAGGGAAGAGGTCACATGTAGATCCTTGTAATCAGTTCCCCCTTTCCAACCCACCCTCCCTCTACACTCCCAGTATCGCCACTCACACCACTGGTCCTGAAGGGATCATCCGCCCTGGATTCCCTGTGTTTCCAGTTCCTATCTGTATCAGTGTACATCCTCTGGTCTAGCCAGACTTGCAAGGTAGAGTTTGGATCATGATAGTGAAGGGGGGAGGGGGGGAGGAAGCATTTAGGAACTAGAGGAAAGTTGTATTTTTCATCATTGCTACATCACGCCCTGACTGGCTCGTCTCCTCCCAGAGACCCCTCTGCAGTGACTACCAACCTTTCGATTGACAGCAGAGTACGTAACCACTGTGCCACCAGGGCTCCTTCCTGCTTCTTAGAGGATGCTAACTAAAGCGTTTCCTGTGAGCAACCTCTGAAATTTGTTCTCTCTTTCACATTCCCACTGCCATTCACCGAGTTTAGCAGATTACATATCTATCTTCCTTGTACTATGGTAAAACCCAAAACCCACTGCCATCAAGTTGGTGCTGTCCAGAGTGACCCCCTAAGACAGGGTAGAACTGCCTCTGTGAATTTCCGAGACTGTCGCTCTTCACAGGAGTAGAAAGCCTCATCTTTCTCCCTCAGAGTGGCTGGTGGTTTCAAACTGCTGACCTTTCAGTCAACAGCCCAATGAGTAACACCTATGCCACCAGGGTTCCTGTACCATTGTAAAAGCTTCCCAGTAATCTTTCTGCTTCATCCAGTTCTCAAGCGTAGAATCTATACTACCACAAGAGAACTTTTCCAAAATATAGATTTAACATATCACTCCCCTGATGAAAAACCTTTAATGGTTCCTACCTACCATTTATGGAATTTACCAGTTTCTTAGAATGCTGTTCAAAAACCTTTCCCTCTCCTGCCTTCCCTCTCCCCACTTATCTTCTTCCCTCCCACACCCAGTGTCCCTTTCCCTGAGCGCGAGATGTTTCCCTTTGAAATGACTGAAACGGCTCCTATTCATTCGATCAAAATCTTACTCACTTATCAAAACCCAGTCCAAAATCTTCCCTGATCATCAAACACCTATTTTGTCCTCTTCTGGGTTCTCACAACACTTTGCATGCGATGTTGGCACATATATTCTCTGTCTTGCATACACCTGGCGACCTGCTTCTGTAAAAATAAAACCCAAACCAATCTCACCGCCCTCACATTGATTCTGACTCACAGCAATCGATAGGGCCCAGCAGAACTGCCTCTGTTGGTTTCCCAGACTGTGATCACGATGGGAACAGAGAGCATCCTCTTTCCCCTTGAATCTGATGGCTTCATACTGCTGACTTTGGGGTTAGCAGCCCAGCCTATAACCCATCATGCCGCTAGAGCTCCAAATAACTCTATGGGGCAGCTCAATCCTGTCACTTTGAGGACTCTGTGTTGGAATTTACCGAATGACACCTAACAAGAGCAACCAAACTGCAAACAATGAAACCCATTGCCGTTGAGTTGATTTGGAGTTATGGCGACCCTGTAGGACAAAGGACCTAACCCATGGGGTTTCTGAGACCTTAGTCCTTACAGAAGCAGTCTGCCACGTCTGTCTCCCACGGAACCCCTGGTGAATGCTTTAATCATCAAAACTCAAACCCAAACTCCCTGCCCTGGAGTCAGTCCGACTCCAAGTGCCCCTAGCAGACAAGACAGAAATAACTGTCCCAGAGGGGCTCCAAGACTGTAACTCTCTACGGGGATAGAAAGCTTCCCCTGTGTCCCGCTGAGCCACTGGTGCTTTCAAACTGCTGACCTTGGAGTTTGCAGCCCGATACATGATCATTACACCATCAGAACCCCTTCAACAACAGCCTTGACCTAAGGTGCAGCTAATCGACGCGATGATGACGCTGAAACCTACAACTACGTGAGGAGGGGAAAGTGAAATTTTGGCTCAAAAAGACCATAGAAATTAAACACCTACACAAACCAAGTGAGAAGAGCCCCAAATTTAGTCCAGAAAGAGTGAGGCAAAAGGTAGGAAAGTTGCCAAAATTCTCAAATGAAAGGGAACAGCCTCTGTACTTGCAATTAACAAGAAGCTACATGTAAGGGAAGGGAGCAGACGTGTCCAGAAATCATTTCCAGAAACAGCCCCACCTTCAGCTGGCTGTGGGGAGATGCTCTGATGAGAATGAGGTGCCTGTCAAGTGCTGTTGGGCAGCAGCCAACCCAAAGCACGGCCAGGGACTCACAGACCCATCAATTCTGAGAGTGGGAAGTTTGCGCAGCAGAGAAGAAATCCCCAAAGACAATGCCTCATCCTCTTTGGCTTGAGTACTTTTACAGCAAGGAGGTGGCTGTTTTGGAAAGCAGAATTTTCCGTTCTGTTGCTGGGCAGTCCTGATTGCTTCTGTTGATTACTGTTCTAATACATCTTCGTTTTAGACCATCCTCCCCATCAAGTAAGGAGCTCTGGTGGTGCAGTGGTTAGGTGCTTGGCTGCTGTTGAAAGAAAGATGGGGCAATCTGCTTCCACAAAGATTACCGTTTAGGAAACGTGGGACCACGGACCATCACACCCCCCTCCTGACTCCTCCTCGGGCCCCCTCCCTCTCGGAGTCCACTGGGGCATTATTCTGTGTGGTGGCAAACCTTGCCATCTTGGCCTTTCCAAACGTACCTAACTGCTTCTGGGAGCTATGGGTGGAAAGGAGAGTCTGCTTCCTCGCTACCATCTTCATTATCACTTAAAGAGCGAACTTTTTCAACACTATTACCCGCCGCCATACTGTCTGTTCAAGTTCTCTCTCTCTCTCTCTCTCTCTCTCTCGCTTTCTCTTCAGGAATTCTTCCATAAGTGTTTGTCTAAATACAGGACTTCGCTTGGTGCACTTTGGTTACAGCAGAAGCAGGGAGCCCCACAGAGAGACATGTGCAGACACATGGAACACACCCATTCCCCAGGGCCTGGCTCGTTCAAGTGTATCAAGCACATTTTCTATGGGTTCAGCACTACCACTGGAGAAAACCCCTTTTTCCTCTGAGCTGATGGTAGTCAGAAACAAAGCAATAAAACTGACATGCTTCTGCAGGCTCAGGAAATTCCAACTAAATGAGGTCTCATTCACCTTTCGGAAGAAAAGTAAGCTTGCTTTTGTTTTTCTCTCTCACAAAACTATAGAAGCAAGCACGATATTAACAAGATAAGTGCATACTTGCTTCGACAGTGCATGTACTGAAATTGGACCGATACAGAGAAGATTTGCGTGGCCCTTGAGCAAGGATGAAGTACACTCATGAAGCGTCCCATACTTTTAATAATTTGGAAAAGGATTTCAACAATGGTTGCACAACAGAAAAAAATGACCAATGGCCTTGAATTATACATGTAGAAGTGGCTGAATTAGGGAATGTTTTGTGTGTGTTTTGGCCACAAAGAAAATAGTTACACTAAAAAGAATGAGTCCAAGGAAGAAAATGTTCTAAAATTGATTATGGTAATGACTGTACACCTCTTCTCGATACAAGTGAACCGTTGAATTGTAGGCTATATGGATGAAGTGCCAAAAAATCTGTTTAAAAAAAAAACAGCAACAATACAAATGCTCCGAAAATCTGATTGAGGAAGGAGAGAGCACAGTTTACATAGTTGTATATGCTGCAAGCCCTCTAGTGTTTACATCATCTGCATCTGATCTCAAACAGCTGAGAATATTCCTAGAGAGGCTTTCTTCTAGAGAGACTGTAATGGGTTTTGCTTAGTTGTCTGTCTATCTATCTATCTGCCTATCTTTTAGCATCTAGCATCTACCAATCATCTATTTCTGGACATGGTGATCATTTTAAAGGTAGACAAGGCCATTGTGATGGCTAGGGTTTTTGTGCCAACATGGCTACTTTAGGAACATTCAGGTGGAATGTTGCCTGTCAATCAGGTAAATTGGTGGGAGGGCACCCCCCCCGCCAACCCCACCACTGGAGGCTCACTGGAGGCCAGCCTCTCTCTCTCTCTCTCCTCCCTGCTTTCACCATCCTGTTGACTAGCCATGTGGAGCCACACTGAGACCTTCCAGAGCCCTGGAGATGCTTCCACCGCCACTGGATCCATAGGATTTTGCATCCAATGGCCTGACATCTTCCTGCATTTTGCATCATTGCATGTGCTGCATGAGTCTGAAGAGTGCTTTATGGACTAGTACCAGACTTATGGGCTAATATCAGACTTATGGACTCAATCTGGAGTAGACTGGGATGGATTTTTAATGTACAATTACTTTTTTGATATAAAGCTCTTTCTTATACATATGAGGGGGTACCCCCCCAAAATAACCCAGAATTATTTTTTTCAAAATTATATATTTAAAATTTTTTTACACAACAGCCTTATCTTCAAACTACTCCCCATTACACTTAATACATTTGTCAAATCTGCAGTTCCATTCTTGGAAACATTTTCAAACTCATCTGTTTGTATGGCTGATAACACCTCCCCCACTTTTTCTTCACCTTTTTATGTCATCAAATCACTGTCCTTTCATGTTCCTTTCCATTCTTGGAAGCATAAAGAAGTCGCATGGAGTGAGGTCAGGTGAATCAGGTGTGTGGGGCAAGCGAGGCATGCTGATTTTTTGCCAAAAAACTGGCACACTGAGATGGCTGTGTGAGCAGGTGCATTGTCGTGGTGGCAAAACCAGTCCCCCGTCTGCCACAAATCAGGCCTTTTTGGTTGCACACTGTTACCCACTCTTTTCAGATCCTCTAAATAGGAAGCTCAATTAATAGTCTGACCTGGTGGAGCAAACTGCAAATGCACTAGGGGTTGACATTTTCATCCCTTTGGGAAATTGACAGAGATCCAGAATGAGGTTTGTCACCAATCGACATTTCACCTTATTTGAAGCAAGAAAACCACTCACACACTTGAGTTTTTCCCATAGCGCCGCCCTTGTACGCTGTGTTCAACATCACAATAGTTTCTGCAGCATTTTTCCCAAGCAGGAAGCAAAATTTCACAACCGTCTGCTGTTCTTTTAAATCAGCCATCACAGAAAATGAGGTTTGAGCAGAACTTCTTTTACGAAATAATTCACTGTAACCACAGAGAATCTTCCCAGAGGACGCCACTGGGTGCACTAACTCAGAGTGAGTTGCTCAATGCTTGCCTAGCAGGAAACATGTGTCCTAAGAAAGCTCTGCTCCACCCAGTACAGTTCTGGTTTTTTTGGAGTACCTCTCATATGTGTCACTGGAATTGTTTCTCCAGTCAACCTGGCCTAATACAGTCATGCTCATTGTGAGATTTGAAATTAAAGGAAAATACAGCTATCTTTTCAGAAGATATCATCTCTGAATTCACCCCATTTGCCCTACTCCTTACTAAACAGAGCCATATCTCCTTATAACAGTGTCTCTATTTTCCAAGATTTGGGAAGCCAATTTGCAGGTGGTCCAGGTCCCTGCTCCCTTCTGCTTAGCTCCTGCCCCTTCTCATCAGTAGCTCCCCAGCACCTCCTTCTCTGGGAGCTAGCTAGGCGTCACCTCCTCTGTGTTTCTTGCCTGGCGCTCCTAGAGAATTAGCAGCCTTCTCCTCACCTCCACTACAGGACAGCCCACGTGGTGCTTGGGGTCTCACCTCCACTGTGGGTCTGACTCTGATCCTGTTACACAGTTGCTTGGAGTGTGGAAGTCAGCATTCTTTGCAAGAATTCTCTGAGTTTTCAGGGGAGGAAATCTGTAATCCCACGGACTCTGGTGCCCCAGCTTACAGCGTTCTTACCTTTACAACGTATGGCTGATCCTTGATCTTGTCCCTGCCATCAGCCAAGCAAGAGTTGGAGCCCTTCTCTTTGATCACCCTCCAGAGTCACAGTAAACAGGAAGCATCATATTTGCTAAAGGTTTAAGGGCATGGGAAATGGGCCCTTAAAGCAAAGTACTTTAAATCCACATTAATCTTTTTTAATAGTTTAATTGGCACTTCGTCCACATATCATACATTTCAGTAGTTCAACCACCACATTACTCTTTAAACTCTCCTTTACCTAAAATTTCTTATAGCTTCCTCGCCTTCCCTTCCTCTTCCAAAAAGTCCATTCCTACTCCCAGGTTTCTCCCTGACAGCATCTTCAGGGATCACACCCTACTCCAGAAGTTGATCAAATGGAGCCAGTTCCCTTCCTGTGAAGAATTCTGGCTCCCATTGTTTTAGATGATATAGTTCTCTATTTCTGTACACTGGTGATGACAGCATTGTAGTGTCATAATCGGTTTCCGCAGCTTCCTCTCAAACTAGACTCTACTCCCGCTGAAGCCTCTTTCTATCTGTGTATCTGCAGCACCTGACAAGGAATCAGGTCATCACGACGGTGACTAGGTGCTGCTCAGAGGGTTCTGAGGGCCGCACGACGACCCTATGCACCCCAGACCCAAGCACTGCCCGGGTCTGTGCCAGCCTCAGATTTGTGATGGTTGAGCCTATCGTCCGTTGCGGCCACTGTGTCCGTCCATCTCATCGACAGTCTTCCTTTCTTTTGCAGACGCTCTACTTCCCCAAACACGAAGTCAATTTCCTGTGATGGGTCTCCCCGACCCCACACCCAAAGTCCAGGAGCTGAAGCCTCACCATCCCGGCTCCCGAGGAGCACTTCTCCCAGACAGACCTGGGGCCGAGTCAGTGCCAGAAACCTTTCAGGGAAGAGAAAAGACAAGTGATGTCGGCCTTGCTAGGGAGTGGATTGCCACCCCCCAAATCCGTGTTGTGATCCTAGTCCCTGCACTGATGGATGTAATTCCCTTTGAGAATAGGCCTTTCTTGGTATGTTAATGAGGCCATACCAGGGGAAGGTGTGCCTTAAACCGAATCGTTTTGGAGTCGTACAAAGAGCAGATTAGACACAGAAGCACGCACACCCAGGGAGAGGGCCGTCTAGCTGGTCAGGAGGAAGGCGAGGGACTCTACAAACCCAGGAGCTCCAAAGAGGGCTGGAAGGACCTCCCCCAGGACCACTCCCGAGCCCAGAGGTCCACCCTCCTGAACCGCGAGAAAATAAAGGTGTGCTTTCAAGCACTTCCTTGACCTTTCTTCTCTGCCGGTTCCAGCAGCACTGGGAAGCTATGACAGGCCTTTCAGAAAACACTCTGCCTCGGTTGTTTATCATGGTGAGTCAGGACCAGGTGGCAGTGTTGCTAGGTGATGATGAGCTTGCTTTGTTTTGAAGAGAGAGGTGAAGTGTTGCTTAGCAACACTTCATCACTGCCCTATCACTCAGAATGGACAAGACAAAAAAAAAATCCTGAGAGTAAAACTAGCTCTCCTGACCTATCTAATCAGACAATAGGGAAGATCTTTTCTTCGGTGGCTGCTCAGAATGCCTCCTTTTAAAATAGGACTACGAGAGAGAAAAAGGTTGATGGTTCCAAATAGTTACACCCCCAAATCAAATCTACTTTGTCAGAGGTTAACTGTGAGTCAGAAGGGTGTTAGAAGGATTCCCCAGACACCACAGCCTGCCTATGATTCCCTACCGGACAAATGCAACCAGCTTCCGAGGTCCCTGGGCCTGGAGGGCATTTGCCTTTCCTGTAGGCGTGAGAGGCAATTCACTCACCTGGCACAGCCAGGGACGGCAAAGCACGTCCGGCCACTCAGGGCAGAAGAACATTTGAATTTGTTGTCCATCTGTAACCTAGAAAACCTTTGTAGGAACTCATATTTCCTAGAAATATTTGCCCTGAAAAAGTCTCACTGGGGTCAAATGATCACAGCTCATCAGCCAGACTCCCATTTGTGCCATATTTTCAGTGCCGGCCTTTCTGTCCCGACATGTTCCACTGGCCGGGGCAATCGGGAGTTCATGCTGGGTGTTGCAGGGGGAGCACATCCGGTCCAGCTCTGTTGATGCAGGAATGGACCCACTGCCATTTTCTTATGGTGCTCTTTCCCAGGGACTCTCTGAAGATGATCATGGCTGTTCAGCACATTAAACGTAAAAATGCCATCAAGTTGATTTGCCCTAAAGCAGAACCTTGCTCCATCGGCTCCTCACTGGGTGATTTTTTTAGAAGCAGATTGTACATTGGAGCTTAAATTCTAAGGCAATTGGTTTGTGCATGGTTGCAGTCTACGGTGGGAACCTTGACACGGTTTTGAGTCCTGACACAAGATCTGATACCATCTGAGTTCTTTATGGGACTTCCCAGTGCCTGCTGACCATTAAGCCGGCAATGTTAGCCCAGGAAGAGCACGCCTGCAGGCGGATGAACTAGTACGGAGACAGACAATGCTAACACAGAGAACTAGGGAGCTTGCCTGGGCAC